GATAGAATACTCTCTATTGTCTACTTGGCGCTCTTCTCTATTTGAGTGAAGTGTATCGTAACTCTTAAACACGATGTTTGATGATCTACATCGGATCAAAACTCTTGAACACGTGTTTGATGGTCCAAATCAGATCGAATCTTTCAATTTGATTCAGTTACGATTAAAATGGATAATTTTTTAATTAAAAAGAAATTTTTTATAATTGTCGTTTATATTGATTTATTTTTGTCTGAGTCTCAATTTAGATAAAATATACAGATTTTTTATCTCTACGTGTTTACATCTAAGATCATACTAAACATTGTTGGGATATAGTTCCATTTGAAATAAATTTAAACACAAGTATGAGGTGTGATTATTATTTTTGTGGGTTAATAACTAAACTATTTATTTAAACTAGAACAATAAACATCATATGGAATAATAAACTAAGTTTTCTGTTTTTTTTTTTTACTTTTTACAAAATTTACCTTAAAAGAATTATTATTCAATAGGCATTAAACCAAGTCTGTGTGTGCTTTCTATAGGCTTTGAATATATTGAATTCATACATAAAAAATGTGTTAATAGATTAAGTAATTATTACTTGTTGTACAGTTTGAAAAAAAATCAGTTCTAAGTTTATTATTTTTACCAGTTAGTTTAATGTTGTATTACTTATTATTTGTTTATTTTTAATTTGGATGGTTTAAAAAACAGATGTTATGAAGTTAACCCTGAAAAGATTAATACAATTCTGGAGGCAGATGTGTACCAGAATTTTCTTATGACTTCACTTCGACAAGTGCAACAAATGAAAGTAATTAGCATCTGCATACTTTCTCTCCCTGTAAATTGCTTCACTACTAGGAATTATAAGTAATAGAATGAAAAATCTTTCCTTCCTTTTTCTTTTACAGGCTGAAATGCTTTCCACTGAGTCATCATCTTCTAAGTCTAAAAGGAACAGGTATGGAGTTTTGTTCTTAGTTATTTCTTTTTATTTTTTCCGTATTGACCGTTTTATGAACTAATTAATGTATAAACAAATGTAATCGAACATCTGTTATTGTGGTCTCTAAAAATGACTTTGAGCCTTATATTATATGTGTCATTTACCATGAATAATTTAAATCAGGATTTCTGATGAAGTTATTCAAGTCTGAAGTATCATTAAATAAGTATTATTGGTACTTGAATTTAAGGTTCTAGCATATGTTCATTTAGGTAAAAGGAGATTATAGTGATTACAATTTGATATATGTTGTTGTTTTAATGATGATAGGTTGAATTTAGAGCCTATAGAAGATGAAAATGAAGCAGACGACAATCTTGGACCCCATCTCACCCTTCATTACCTACTTAAAAAGGCTAATGACGGAAAGTTTCAAATTGGAGTAGACAAATCAAACTCGAACAATATCAATGACAATGTTGTTGGTGATGGTGATGGCAATGGCAATGGCAAAAGGAATAGGAGTGCAAATAACAATCGCAGTGGAAGTGCAAGTGGAAGTTGTAACAGCAACGGTGGTGGTAAGTGAATTTTAGTTATTAGTCCAGCTGGTTTCTAGTCTATTTGGTTCATTAAAAAGTAGTTGTTTTGTGTGCTACAAACTTCAGCAAAGTAATTGTGGGGTGGCTACCATGAAACTGATATAATTTTAACCTCTCCATTTTTGAACTCGCAATATTCTAGTTGAAGTACTAGCCTTTTGACTATCCACTTCATTTTGGTGTGTGTGTGATTTAAATATATGCACTGAAGAATTGAATTAGATCGATTCTTGTTGTTTTTATGAACTTGTTCTTTCTAAAATTATAAATTTAATAGCATGTCAAGATTGAAAAAAATGGAAGATATTGGTAAGGTTAGTTTCTTATATTAATTTTCTATATAACAAAAAAAAAAAAATCTTTTAAAAAATATTTCCTACTTAAATTTGATAATTACATCTAGATCTCAAATTGATTCTCTTACATATAGTGATGGAAATTTAATTATTTCCCTTATTTTAAATTAAACTAGATTTACAGTCTATGCTGTGTACATAACATAATTTTATAAGAATTATATAAAAAAATTATAACATAAATATAGAAAACTTTTAATTTAAAAAATTATCATATTTTATTTTTTAGAAGATTTGCATGACATATAAAATGTGAGGAATAAATAGGTCATCAAAGAATTTATAATGAACTAAATATTTAGATAATTATTATATATATTTGTAATCAATTAAAAATTAAATTCTATTTTTATACTAAAAAATTAAATAATTCTAATATTTAAATTTTAAATTACTTATAGGTCCTCCATATGAAGCTCCCAACAATCATCATAATTATTTTTATTTTTAGACTTTTTAGATTTTCAGATAAAATTTTGTTAATTGATTAATGATTAAAACAACTAAATTTAAAATCATAAAATAAAATTATCATTTGAGGAATTGATACCTTTTAATTCTCGGTATTCTTTTATATGTGTATATATATTTTCTCCTAAAATTTCTATCTATTGACTTTTATTCTCTCTTCAATTAGCTCTCTTGCAAAAGATTTGGTGATAATATTTGCATGCATGAAATAATATACATATTTTTATAAATATATCTTGTTTTTAATACTCAATGAAACAATATTTATATAAAAATTTAAGATAATTAATATGCGAACGAAAAAAAAAAAAAGTAAATTTAAGATGAAATAATATTCATATTTTTATAAATATATCTTGTCTAATGTAAAATATCTCGTTATATAAAAATTTAAAATGATTAATATACGAATGATAAAAATAAATAAATTAGAATCCGACAATAATATATATCTTAATATTTTACGGTGTACTTTTACCATGTGTTTTGAACGTAATTTTTTTTAAAAAAATTTAAATTATGATATTGCAGCGCAGAGTTTTAAAACTAATTGTATTTAATCTTGAACAGTATAAAACAAACTTAAAAAATGATAATTAATAATAATATAATTTTATTATTGAATAAATATTTTATTTAAAAATATATTATGATAGATTAAGCTATTATTTGCTACATGTGTAAAGACTTGGAACTTAAAAAGTAATAAAATCATAAATTAAATACGGAAGCGAAATAATAGAGTTTAGGGTTTATATTCCTTATACAATAATTTAGAATGCTCAATAGGGTTACGAGAATGTTCTTTCTAAAAAAACAAACAAAAATTAAAGAAATAAACAAAATACAAATAACTGAGCATTTTAGAACAACCTTCACTAGCTTCTGAAAGGAATCTGAGTGGTGAACTTATTCACAACTCACTTGTTAATCGAGATATGAGTCTTGATCCTCTTGATCTGAAATAATTAATGAAAGGGTGAGCTACACTAGCCTAGTAAGAATATTACACTACTCACCGATACAGAAACTGAATGTTGGTAAAAATCATAAAAACAACCAACAGAACTCTTAATTTAAGTAAATTTATTTATTATAAAAAAAACTATTTATTGCATATATTTACCGTTACAAGATTTTCAAAATCGACCTATAGAAACAACAACTTAAATAACATTTACAATCTCATTTTCAAGTGAGCAATAACAACTACTTTCTCTTTTTATTTGTCTAATGATATTCTTGTGTGCCCATAAAGATGTCTCACTATGCGTGAACCAATATTCAACATTATCAACTAACCGGCCGTCCTCATATCTCATCTGATATGAGCGCCAAAAATATCATTCCCCGATACTCCATCCAGTATGAGGCAACATTCACGGTAGGATTCCCTATGTACTCAATTCGTCAACCATATCCCAAGATATTCAGTAGAGTTGTCATTCATTAATTCACATGACCAAATAATTTTCCATTTGCATATTAATTTTCAATTCCACAAATCAATTGTAAATCACGCAAGACAAACAATATATATATCAAGGAAGCACAACTGAATCATTCAACAATTCCAATATATTATCATGTATTTAAATCTGTAAATTCAACAATCAGTTAAATATGACAAATAAAGAACTAATCGATTCCGGCTCTATTAATAACCTGTAATTATTTTTAAAATTTTTCTAAATTACACAAAATATCATATTATCGATCATTAAACTTCAATTCCGTAACAAAGAATAAGGTGATGGATTCTTCTTCGAATCGGTGTCCAAAATACTGAACTTTCTACTGCGCCTATTAACGATCCTCAGGTTTTTTGAATTTTTTTACGGAGATTAAGACACGCTTCATGTATCTAAAAATATTCTAAAAAATCCAAAATTGGTGTTAAAAATCTTTTTCGGTCAATTTTAAAATTTCGGTACGGCGACACTATCATGTTCTAGCGACGGCACTGCCGCTCGCGGCGGTGGTTTGCCTCGGTCTAGTTGTTTTTAGCCAGTTTTATACCCATTCTTGCGAGAAAATACGTTAGGGGATCTTGGTTGGCCGAAAAAAGTGAAAAAATAGAAACCTACCGGCAGTAAAATTTTTCAGTGCAGCAGCTCCACCAACTCACCTACGTGGCTAGACATTTTTCTTCGATCAACTTGTAGAAAATAGAACGGTGAACACAATGATAGAAAAATTACACGAAATAAGAAACAATAAGGGACCCATTGGAGGCGGTTGCGGGTTTTACTCGCGCCATGATCGCCAAGCTTTGCCTACAGTTTCTGACTCATCTGCTGTTCCGTTTACTTTTATTTGGCCATGGGGGTGCTTGTAATCAAATTCCGAGCAGATAGGAGAATTTTTATATTTTTTGGCAGTCGGAGGTGGCTCTGGTGAAGTGGCGGACGACGGTTGATTCCTTTCTCTGGCGATTGGTTCTTCTTTTGCGAGATATTTATATCCGTCATATTTAAATTTGGGTCGTTCATCGCGTTTGATGTCGACCGTCCGATCGCATTTAAAGAGAAAATGAATATGGACTGGATTGTTCATCGCGATTTGATCTCGACCATACAATCGCATTTAAAGAGGGAACGAATTTGAATCGTTCATCGCGTTTAATCGTGATCGTCCAATCACACTTGATGAGGGAACGGATCCAAACCATCCACATGCGCAGGAATGCTTCCAGACCATCCAATCGCAGGGTACGCGGATCTCCAGTGTGGCCTCCCCCCTGGCACCTAGTCAACGTGTCTTGCCAGACGGCGTACTCCGATTCGTGGGGGCTGCTGACTGGGCGGTCCTACGTGGTGCAATTTTTTTTAATTGCGTTTTGACCTCTTATTTTCAATTTTTCTTTCAAAAACACCATTCGAACCCAAATTTTCATCTTTTTTTTTCAAAATTATTTTCAATTTCATCTTTTACCTATTTTTTTTCCTAATTTCACATTAAATAAAAATTTATTAATTTCAAAATTATATTTTTATACATTTTTTAAAATTTTAAAATTAATCACAGACCAAATTCTGAATCCGGGTATTACAACATGAAAATATATTTTAATTTTTTTATATTGTATTGTACATTAATATTTCAGGATATATATTTTTTATTTTATGTATGATTCGGATTAATATATAGTTGAACTATATTGTAACACCCAAGTTATATTTTTTGTATTATTTTTATTTTTTGTATTTGAATTTTTTAGATTTTAATTTAATTTAATTTAATGAAAATAAAAATAATAATAATAATAAAATTGGGTAAAATTATTATTTGGATTTAATTGAAATTGATTTTGGAAAAAAAAAAGGTGAAAATTTGGATTCTGGGGGTGTTTTTGAAAAAAAAAATCAGAAACCGGAGGTCAAAACGCAATTTGAAAAAGTTGTGCCACGTCAGCAGTCACGTCAGCAGCCCGGTCAGTAGCCCCGGTCAACTAGGACACGCCGTGTGGCAAGAAAACGCTGACACAGGACGGGCCACGTGGGCGATTTGCGTGCGAGCGATCGGACGGCCTAGATCCGTTCTCGCGCGCACAGACGGCCCAGATTTCACGCATACAGACGGCCCAGATTCAATCAGGCACGGACGGCCTAGATCGCATCGCGATGGGACGGGTTCAGAATTTAATCCCCAAATTAAATTGCGATCGAACGTTCCAGATTTTAATCTAGATTAGACCGGTTTAAGGATTAAAAGGGCAAAAGGGTATAAATAACCCCACCCACACTTGACCACAAAAAACTTAGTAGCCAGTGCCTCGCCGGAGAAGAAGAACCAGACGCCGGAGGAGCCGACCGCTGCCACCTGCCGCTGCACCAGAGAATTTTTCGACTGCCAATCGAGGTAAATTTTCTCCTCCTGGCTCGTTTTTCGATGCTGAATCCGCCTATGGCCAAACTGGAGCCAAACCACAAGCCAATCTACCGGAAAACCCTACCGAAGTCCTGCGCCGCCGCCGCGGCTCCCCTCTGTTTTTGCCTCTGATGAGGCCCTTTCCGGGCTCCGTTCGATGCAATTTTTATACCATTGTGATCACTGTTCTTTTCTCTACAAGTTGAATGGAGCAAAACATCAAAACGCGACTCACGCTGGAGAAGCTGCTGCACCCGAGAGCACTGCCATCGGTAAGTCTCGGTTCTTCGTGATTTTTGACCTACCGAGGGCCCTAGGGTTGTTTTATCGCAGGGAACAATATAAGTCGCCAGAGCACGGCGGAGCCGCCGTGCCAGAATTCCGATATTGGCCAAAAGGGGCCCTAGGTCTGATTTGAAATTTTTTGGGACACGTGCAGGTACCGGTAGTGCGTTTCAGTTTTTCGGAAAAAAAATTTAGGAAAATTAGGAATGGCCCGTAGGCGCACTGTAGAGCCGATTTCAGGCCCCGAAACAAGTAAAGACCCTTCACCCTATTTTCTATCACGGTATTAAAGTTTAATAAATAATTAAACAGTATTTTGTGACTTTATAGATGTATAATTGATTAAGGTTGCCAATGGAGCCCGAATCTGGTACATTGTTGGTAAGTTATTATTTGATCTAATTTTCAGTATTAAATGCAGTATGATGTTTGATGTAATTATGTTATGGTCTCGTATGCATGAATCATGGTTTCTTTTATTATGGTTTGTATTATGGTGAATCTGATACTGTGTTGTCTTGTTTGGTGTCAATTACTAGTTTACATGTTGTGTATGATTGGATGATTGAGATCAAGGAAAAAGGCAAAAAGGTTATGTGAATTGATAAATAGATAATGTGGACAGCCTAACTAGATATTCTAGGAGATGGTGGACAGACCGGGTATGTAGGAAACCCTACCGGGAACGTGGTCTCTCATACCGGACGGGATATGGAGCCCTTATGTGTTTTGGCGCCCATACCGGACTGGGTATGGGGACAGTCCGTTTCACCCTCATACCGGACGGGGTATAGAGGTTTATGGTTTTTGCGCCCATACTGGACGGGGTATGGGGTCGGCCCTGAAATCAGGTTATTAATGTTAATGGTTTACGTGTAGCAGAGACCCCCCCTATGTATCCCCATGTATACTAGTAAGCTGGTAAAAGAGTAAATTTATTGTCTGATTATTGAAGTACAAAAGTAGGACATGTGTTCTGTTACAAAGTCGATATGATTTTATGATGATTATCATGTTATTGTTTTCATAGGTTATTTTCATGAATCTCACCGAGGTAAATAGACAGTAGAAGTTTTTATGTTAATAAATGAGTTTGTTATAAATTATGCTCAATTGGTCATTTTTGTTTTCTACCGACCTTTACTTCTGTGACAATGAGATAGTGTGATGTCTTTACTGAGTTAATGTAGCTTATTCCTTACTTAACCATTTTAGATTAGGAAGACGTGGTTTCTGAGCCCGTTCTGCAGGAAGACGGCGAGGTAGACGTCTAAGGACCTTATAGCTCTATTTATAGTTTTTATATCGAGTATCTCTTTTAATTAACTTATTCTTTCATGTTTTGAGTACATTTTTTGTTATTGTGTAAGGGATGTTAATCAAAAATTTTATTACGCTTTCGCATTTAAGATTTTTAATACATATATTTTCATTTAAATTCCGGAGCCGTTACATATATTGCATTACTAGAATTTATGTTATATATTTAAATAAAAATTACAATTTATTATTAGGAGCGGGAAGAATATTATAAAAAATTAATAAATTATTTTTAAATGAGAGAAACGGTGGGGCCCGAAAGCGACAAGCGAATGGGTGTATCGCATTGTCCCGCCCACGTCTCTTTGACGCGTCAATTCTTCTCTCTCTCTCTCTCGCTCACACACCTGAAAAACAGGTAACATCCAATCCAACCAAAAATCCCAAATTAAAAAAGATTAATAAGCAAATAAACCAATTTAATAACTATTTTATCCTTTCTAAAATTTTTTTCCTGTTTCGTTCTTTATGTAATATAATTGTTCTCATTTTGAATCAATTTGTTTCAGTCGTGGTGTTTTGGTTTTGTTCTTCGGGAAATATGTGTATAATATGTATATATATGTATGTATGTGTGTGTAATGCATGTTGATTGACATGAGCCAGCAAAGACTTGATTGGTTTTCTTGTTATACGTATAATAATAATATCATAATTACATATAGACGGATACATCGTTTTCACGTTCCAGTCTTAATTAAAAGTTAATTAAGATTGAGGGGCTTGGAATTAATATTGGGGTTTGTTGTGATCAAGAGGAGGTAAGAGAGAGACTGAGAATGTTTCTGCATGGCATTTTGTTTGTAGGGTGAGGTTGAGGAGGAGGGAAATCGTCGTTTTCTGCAACTGGCGTCGTCGTTTCGTCTTTTGGTTATTGAATTTTGAAGATTAATCAGATTGGTTTCTCAGCCTTCGATGAAATTATGAGAAATAAAATACTCGCATTAGATGGTGATTTGATAGGCAATGGAAATGAGAATAGGCGGTCGTGCGGCCATTGTTTTCTCCATTTTGTTAATTTGTGCGATGGCCATGGGAGATCCAGAAGCCAAGATTAGCGACCCACCGGAAAATTTCGCCCGCGATGATGAAGAAACGGTAAAATGATTTTGTTTCTTTCCTCTTTTCTTTTTTTTTTTTTTGCATGTATTTATGATTTATGCTGTTAATGGTGATGGGAGACAAAATTGTTGAGCTTTTGACTCTTAAGATGATTTGCATGAGTTTTTCTGGGTTATTGGATTCATGTAACATTGGACATTTGCGGTAAGTGGGTATTGGCCATGTTTGTTTTGCTGCTACAAAACTTGGAAGCAAAGATTAGAAATATAAGCTTCTTTTGTTTTTTCCCTTTTTGGGTGGGGGGGGGAGGGGGGAGGCAGGGGGTTTTGTCTACTTGGAATGACAACTGACAAATGCAGCCATTTTCTTCTGTTTAAATGATACATGTTTAGGAATCTTTATTTTTCAGAGGTAAGAAAATATTAGGCCAGCTTTCACACATCAATACAAGAACCGGATCCAGATGATTAAAACAATGAATACTACTACTTGCCAGACTATCCTTGTGGTTAACGTTTAGGAATTGTTAGCTGAATTGAGTTTGTAAATCAAATAGAAGAAAACTACTTATTCACGAAGTAGAATCCTGTGTGGAAAGTCATTCACATGCAGACACTTCGGGACAGTAGGAAAGATAAGTCACATTGAAAATTTTGTCTTTAAGAAGCCCCTTCAATATTTATAGTCACAATGCCATTTTAATTTAGTGTAAGTTACTATTGCTATTCTTCTTGAAGCAATTTCATTTTTAAGATTCTGGAAACCAAAAGAACAGAAATATAGTGCTCAAAAACTGATGATGTTTTGTTTTTCTCCTCAAGAGGAAGAATTGTACTTTATTTTATGTTCCCTTCAAAATTGGAAATTGGCAACCATTTGATAGGATGAAGTTTAAGTGTTCTTTCTGGGGCTTTAAAGCAGATTGTAGCATATGCTGATACCTGAGGTCCTACTTTCAGTTAATTAGTTTTGATGGTTGATGAGACTTTAATCCATGTCTATCACTATTGAAGTGAATTTATCTATGAAAAGTTACATAATCCATTTCGATATAAATTTGTATTTGCAAGAATTCTTAGAAAAAGCATGCATGATTATTGCATTTGTAGAGACTGCAAATAATTTTAATGAAGAGAAAGGATATGTATGTTATCACCTTATTGAACTCATAATTATGGTTCTTATGATACTTTTGTATTGCACTACATGTAAGTTGTGTTAGGAGGTTCTATTCTGATACATATATATATGTGTGTGTCTCACTTAATTAATTAATAGTATGTACGAATTTCTAAGTAAAAAAAATGATGCCTTACTCAATTCTCACAGGCAGAGCAAGCATGGACACACTGTAGGAAAGAATTGGTAGACAAAAAAGATGATCTCAATGATTTTCACTTGCACATCTCCAAGGAAGCAATCAAGCACTCAAAATCAATATTATTGACAAAAGAAAACATTCAGAAGGCAAGTTTTATGCCTTCACACTTGAAACAGAGACTTCTGGATTGCTCAAGAAGAAAAAGTCATTCCTTTCGTTTTTCTGGGGAAGAGACTACCTTGAAATTTTGGTTTGTCAGACACCTAGAGTGGTTCTTTGCTTGGCCAAGTCATCCTCGAAGAAATTTGGCTACCTACTTAGACTCACATATGGCACAAGGCCCTATTTCAGTTCCAACTCCAGCACCAGCCCCTAGTTATGGTTCTGCTCCAGCTACAGGCTCAGCACCATCCCCTTCTTATGGTGCTGCTCCTACTTTATCCCCAGCACCAGCCCCTAGTTATGGTTCTACTCCAACTTTATCCCCAGAACCAGGCCCTAGTTATGGTCCTGCTCCAACTTTATCCCCAGAACCAGCTACTGGTTATCATTTTGCTCCAGCTTTAGCCCCTGGAGCAGCCTCTAGTTATGGTTCTGCTCCAGCTCTATCCCCAGCACCAGCTCCTAGTTATGGCTTACGACCTGCAAGCACTTCATCTCCAAATTCTATTTTCCAGTCAAGGCATCAGAACTAGCAAGTAGATTTGCGTCTCCTCCACCACCTAAAAATTCTAAAAGATCTCCACCTCGTCCAAAAGCTAGCAAGCATCCTCCGTCAAAAAAACAGAATGACATCTTGAAAGAAACTATAATTGCTGTTGTTGCAACTGCAATAGGAACATTTGCTATGGTTGCTTTGCTTTTCTTTTGTTGCTTTCGCGGTAAAAGAAACAAAATTGGCCCTAGAGATGGACGAAGGGACGAAAGTCCTCTTCTCCATTTAAGCTTAAGTGATTTTTCGGCAGGTATGCTATTGTTGTTCTTTCCCCTACTCCTATCATATGCAGTTGTAAATTATTTGTATTGTCAATAGTTATCTCTCCTTACGACTATGATCTTCATTCAACCTGTTTCATCTTTCAGGTTCATCACAGAATTCAATTAGCTTAGGAACTTCAAGCAGCAAAGCTTTCAAAAATGGCGGGAAAAATCCTTCTATTCGTAGCAATTTTTCCATGAAATCAGGAAATTATGATTCCTCACTGGCTGAGACACAGTCAGAAGCTTCTATGGACCAAGGAGCAGGCCCTACCTTAAAACCTCCCCCTGGAAGATCAGTTCCCCCACCTCCTGGACCACCACCCCCTCCAAAGCCTCCAGGCCCTCGGCCCCCACCACCACCTAAAGGTGCTCGGCCTCCGCCTATGCCACCAAAAGGAGTTCGAGGTGGTGCTCCACATCATCGGGGACATAGCATTTCCAGTGATGCGGATGAATCTGATAGTGAATCTGGAGCTCCCAAGGCCAAACTAAAGCCATTTTTCTGGGATAAAGTTATGGCCAACCCTGATCAGTCCATGGTTTGGCATGAAATTAAAGCTGGTTCATTCCAGTAAGTCTATTGATTTCCTTAAAAGATATCATCTTCCCATGAATGAGAGTGTCAAGTCTGTCTTTCCAAATGTCAAGTTGCATTAAAATTATTTCAGGTTCAATGAGGAGATGATGGAGTCTCTATTTGGTTATACTGTTGCCGAAGACAAAAGAACTGATAGAAGAAAAGATTCATCCCTTGAATCTTCAGTCCAGTATATACAGATAATTGATCCTAGGAAAGCTCAAAACTTGTCTATTCTTCTCCGGGCACTGAATGTGACAATAGAAGAAGTTGTTGATGCAGTCCAAGAAGGTATTCTTCCTTCCCTGTAGCTACTGACTCTATGCATGAAAGATACTGTATATCTTCTGTGTATTTGAATGATTTAATTGATTCAGGCAATGAGCTTCCGTTGGAGCTCCTTCAAACTTTGTTGAAGATGGCACCAACATCAGAAGAGGAACTGAAGCTTAGATTATTTCCTGGCAATGTTGCTCAGCTTGGCCCAGCAGAGAGGTTTCTCAAAGTCCTGGTTGAAATTCCATGTGCTTTTAAACGGATAGAATCATTGCTATTCATGAGTTCTCTTCAAGAAGATATCAGTACTCTTAAGGAGTCCTTTGCAACGCTTGAGGTTAGATGCTAGATATACAAAATTATTTTGATGAAAAAGTAGGGTTTTAATCCCAAAAAAATATATGATATTTCTTTTTTTCTTTATGAAAAATATACTTCAATGTAGATAGATTCTGCCATTTGCATTATCAGACCCTTTTTTTACTTAAGTGTCTAGGAGTGGACTATACCTGTTTTCAGAAAGGATCTGTTTGGTTTAATATAAAACCTCATTTGCATATGGTACCTTGAATTTTCAATTACTACACGTTTTTGGGCAAAAACTCTTGCTGTATTTTGCCTATGTTCGTAGTCTTTTCCTACTAATGATGATTAACAAAAACATATTACTAGCTCTCTTTCACTTGTTTCAGTTATGAAAGTGAATAGTGAAGATACTAATAATTATTTAGTTTTTGGGGAAAAAGAAACACTTTCTTTTGTGGGGACTAACTAAAGAGAAATATACAAAATATATCCGTATACCAAGCCTGGGAAAGTTGCATCCCTGTCAATTCCAAGGCTCTACGTACTTATCTGAGCCTATCCATGTTTTTATTGCAGGTTGCTTCCAACAAACTCAGAAGTAGTAGATTATTCCTGAAACTCTTAGAAGCAGTATTGAAGACTGGCAATCGCATGAATGATGGTACTTACCGCGGTGGTGCTCAGGCCTTCAAACTTGACACACTCTTGAAACTGTCTGATGTGAAAGGAACGGATGGCAAGACCACTCTCTTGCACTTTGTTGTTCAGGAGATAATCCGTTCTGAAGGAATACGAGCTGCTAGGACAGCCAAATCAAGCCGGAGCTTCTCCAGTGTGAAAACAGATGATCTTGTGGTGGATGATCCTAGCTCTGAATCAGCAGAGCACCTCCGCTCACTGGGGCTTCAGGTCGTTTCTGGTTTAAGCACTGAACTTATTGATATTAAAAAAGCAGCAATTATCGATTTGGATACCCTGACATCTACCATGTCAAAAGTAAGCAATTCACTGGAAAAAACAAAAGATTTCTTGGACAGCGAAATGAAAAATACGGATGAGGGTGGTGAATTTTACCGTGCATTGGCTAGCTTTGTTGAACGGACAGAAGCCGATTACTCATGGTTATTGGAGGAAGAAAAGAGGATAATGGCTTTGGTCAAGAGCACAGGCGATTACTTTCATGGAAATTCAGGAAAGGATGAAGGCCTGAGATTGTTTGCAATTGTCCGGGATTTCTTAATAATGGTTGATAAGGCATGTAAAGAAATCCAAGACACAAGGACCAAGCCTCGGAAGACTTATAAGAGAGAAGCAGCAAAAGCGTCAGCTTCTTCAGAAAACCGGCAGCAGGATATCAGAAAAAGGTTATTTCCAGCAATAGCAGACCGACAAAGGAATAGTGATAGTTCAGATGATGACAGTTCCTCTCCGTAGCCTTCATTTTTACAAGGTACAGACAGAGTCATGTGGTTTTAAAAGTATTTCTATATATCCGAATTGGCTTAGGTTTGTTTGTATCCCTCATACCTAGTTATTGTAGCCTTAGCGCACCTGCACCTTTCAAACCCTTCAAACTATTCTGTTCGTTGACAATCTTATATATGCAGAGAAGTACTCTCCTGATCATTTTTGCAGTTTAGTTCCTAACCTTTTATTTCTTTCTCTGTTGTGTTTAATCAGGTGGCTTGAAAACCTTGGAGGGATGATGATAGTTGTGTTAAGCTTTTTTCAGTCATACCTCATTGTCAAGATTTTCTTTGCCTTTTCCGTTTTTGGCCTTTTTCTGTTTGTAATCTCGGGGAAGTTTCTTGGTGAGGGTTGGCTGAGGAGGTGAAAGCTATCTTTTAGAATTCTTTACACTAACACCTTGATTAATTTGTACAGCAAAACTATATGAATATTAAATCAACAGATGATTATAGTTTGGCTATTACTACTCAGTTAGCTAAAATAAAAAATTCAATACATATATATATATATATATATTTTTAATGGATTTGACCAAAATGATTCAATTACAGATATGGAAGTAAATCAAAAGCATTTCATTATATCATCTGATCTTGATCTTCAATACATAAACAAACTAATATATCTCTTTGGTGAGGGATTTTTTCATAATGTTTGTAAACAATTATTTACAGAGTAATTAAATAAGGTTTAGCTATTAAAAAAACTTTTTTCAACTCATTAAATTGAAAGGGGCATCAATATAAAAACATTACTCCAACTCGGAATTAAATGTAATTTCATCATACATAATCTTAAATCTGATGGAATTTAAAAACGGGATATCCCTCTACATATCAGTCTTGGCGGGAATCATTGAAATGAACACGTAATCTGAATTAAATGGTCAAAACCCTAGTTAGGGGGAATTGACAAATTTCTCCAAGCCATCCTCTCTAAATTCTTAAACCCTTTTTCCGCTTCTGTCCACTCTCCCCTAAAATTCCGAACCAGAAAAAAAAAAAAATGGCTCCAAAGCGGCACATCGAGAATCCACCGCCGGTTGAGTCTTCTGAAGAAGAAGAAGAAGAAGAAGAAGGCGAAGAAGAAGAAGGGGAAGAAGAGGTAGAGGAGATGGAGCAATCCGAGGAAAACGACGTAGTCGATGAAGACGACAACGAAGCCGTTGATGGAGAAGAAGAAAAGACGCAAGCGAAAAACCCAGCCCTTCAAACCAACTCGGCGTTAGACTCAGGCTCCGATTCCGACTCAGAAGGGAGCCTCCCTTCTCCCAACATCTCCGACTTCACCATCAAGCCGATCCGCTCCAAGCCCATGCCTGAACCCGCTAAACCCAACAAGGCAGCCTCCAAAGCCGGCTCAAAGCGCGCCGCCGATACTCAGCCTAGCGAGACCGAACCAAAGAAGAAGGAGAAGAAAACACAGAACGGCGCCGAAGAAGAGGACGCGAAGAAAGGGTCCGGAATTCAGCGGCTGTGGAGCGAGGACGACGAAATCGCAATTCTGAAGGGGATAACCGAATACAGATCCAAGACCGGAACCGACCCGAACGCCGACATGGTTGCATTCCATGAATTCATCAAGAAATCTCTGCATGTCGACGTTTCGAAATCTCAGTTGCATGATAAAATCAGGAGGCTGAAGAAGAAGTTCCAAGTAAACGCTGAGAAAGGGGAAAAGAACGGACAGGAACCGGAATTCGCTAAGCCCCATGATTTCAAGTGCTTTCAACTTTCGAAGAAGATTTGGGCTAGCAGCAAGGAATCAATCGATACTGCCGTCAAGAACAACAGCAACAGCGTTAATGGTATCAACAAGAAAGCAAAGTACAGCAATGGCGGTACTAACACCAATAGCAAGTTGAGCGATGAGGTTAACGTTCCGATTACTCTGGGTTTGCCCAGTCGGGAAGCGAGTGGCAAGAGGCAGAGCCAGATAATGGTTAGTCGGAAAGCAACGGAGGAGGAGGAAAAAGAGGACGCCAAAATCAAAGTCGATGCTGAGGAACCCAATGGCGATTTAGATGACTTTTGGTCACGTTATCCCTGTTTTAGCGAGTCATTGAATAGTGAGCAGTTTCCAATGCCGGATTTCTCCGTAAAATTTCTGAAAGATAGGATGAAGGAGATCGGGAACGAGAAGGCGAAGGAGATGGAAGACAAGTGGAGGAAGCTGAGGGAGGAAGAACTGAAGCTGTACATCAAGAGGATTGATTTGGTTAAAGAGCAAGCAACCCTGGTGGTGGATGCAATGAAATTAGACTCATAGACCTCTATTAGAAGGTAATATCCCAATTTGCTCAAATGGGTTTTTCAGAATTCATTTTTCAGTATGAACATTTGGCAGAACAGGTGATTGCAGCTTTGCCAGTTTGTGGGCATGGGAAGTTTTTGATGGAGAATTGAGCTTATCAGCCGATGATATATATATTAAACATGCACGATTTTGATGTTGCTTTATTACTTAAATTCTCTCTTTCTTTATCGATCTACGGGTGTGTTATTGGTTCTTTGAAACTTCATCTTCCTGTACGGTTTGCTCTGTTTATCCAATCATCATTAATGGCAAATCTCCATACTGTGTCTGCATGTGAGAGTTACTGGCTTTTACATCCCGTGATTAGCGGAATCCTGTGCTTACTGTAGAAGATAGACTTTTCAGATGAATTGGATTATCCGGATGTTTGACAATTGACGCTACTTCTAGCAACAGAGATTGCTCTTATAATGGAGTCGGTGCTTAAAATGTTGATGAATATTGAGACATTAACATCATGTTTGTATGTTAAGGTAAACGAAGCAAAAAAATATGAAATCAAATTTCTTGTTGCAAGAAACCCTATTTAGTTTGCTGGTCATTTAGAATTTAGATCGGGGAGCTTTTTTTAGGTTCAGAAGCCATTTCAGGTAACTCCGAAGCTGAAATTTGGCTGGTAAATTGAGTTTGATTTATTTGAATTCCATCAGGATTGATGGAGTTTCAGGAGTTAAATTTTGGAGTTTGGCAGTAAAACTTTGAAGGGATGCTGAGTTAGCATATACCCAGTATAGAGTAATTGATCATAAAGTGGAATGGAGTATAACTGTAGTGATCATAGAGGAATACAAGAAGCAATATCATGTAATTGCACATATAGGCCCTTGTAAATTTAATTAGATTTGCTCTCCTATATATACTTTTATAACCACAATTAAATAACTAAATTATCACTAAAGATGAAATTTCATGGTTAAAAAAAAAAAAAAAAGAACAAGAAGCTAATTAGTAATAAGAAATTTAATTTATTTATTAGTGTATTTGGGAAGAAATGATCAGAGTTAGGTTAAAAGTTTATTAAGTTTTTGGGCTAAATGAATATTTCATAGTTACTAAATTTTCTTAATTAGTACAGTGATATTTGATTAAAAATTTAATCAATTTTTATCTTAATTTTTTTATTAAAAAAAGAAAAAGAAAATAAGAAGTTAATTCACAACTAAGATTTAGTTTATGAATGTATTGGTGAAATTATAATAATTAAATTATATAATAATAAATTTATTATAAATAAATATTTTATAATTTTTATATTTTTTTAATTGATGTAGTAATAATAGATTAAAATTTTGAATTTTGAATTATTATTATTATTATTTTTGCTTAAAGAAAGAAGAAGAAGCTAATTTGCTGTGAGAATTTAATTTAAAAGTTGCAACGATTATGTTGAGTCATTATGTTTCTGAGTGAAAGAAATAGTTGATAGTTACTAATTAAAACAATTATAAAAAAATTGAATTAATTGTTTTCATCACAATGAGAAACTATTATTTATTGGACATTGACATCTAATGGAATCAATAATGCATCTTTAGGAATATATATTTCTTTTATTGTAGTCTACTTTCAATATCAACAAAACAATATATATATATATATGTGTATACATATATATATATATATATCTAAAAGAATATTAAAGGAAGCAGAATAATGTTAAAAGTACCAGCTAATGGGACATAGAGTAAGAAATGTGAAAAAGCTTACAGTGGCAGTGGGGAAGGAGGTAATAATGGCGGTGGAAAGAAAAAGAAAGGTTAATAGTGTCTTGCTACAAAAATAAAAAGAAAAAGCAATATAAATATAATATACAATTTTATTCTGTATTGATGAACCATTTTCACTTTCCTTCCTCATTGGCTGCAGTGGCTGAGACGTAATGTCCAACACAGAACAGAGCGTGAACAAAACAGAGAATCCCTCCAATGGACAGAAAATGGTGGTGTGAAAAACCACAAGAAGCCCTAGATTTGTTGTTTGATAGAGTCCCAATCACCAGCATTGACACCCCAATCGCTAATATAAGCCTGTTCATCAACCCATATAAATATTTTCCCCCCTTGTATATATATATATATATATGTATAAATTTGAGAATAGTTAATTACCAGGCAAAAATAAGGCAGACCAGGGCGATTTGGCGATTAGGGGAGGCATTTTCAAATTCTTGTTGAGAACAAATGCATGCACAGCCACCCATCAAGCTTGCAACAACATGGGCAAATATGAAAAAGCAGACTGCTGCTAATCCCAGCCTGAATGCTTCCTGACTTGGTTCTTTGCATTCAAATATCCATAACCTCATATGCTTCGCCTGTTAAATCTATCCATTACCCCACAGAAATATATACAGATATAATATATACATACACACTGTTTAGTGAAAGAAGAAACATGTATAATAACATACCCGGTTTTGTGAAACTTCTGCTTGAATGCCCAAAAGCCCACCTGCAACATCCATGCCTACAATCAACAGACACAGAAGAACACCTACAATTTTCCCCATTTTTTTATTTTCCCTGTTCTGGGTTTCTCTCGCTGAGATTGGAATGATTAAGAGAACTGATGCTAACGAGTGTATATATATATGTGTTGTGTGTGTGTATAAGGAGCAGTAAAGTGCATGTATGTAAACCTAAAATGGGTTATAACTAGCTGGGACAGGTTTAGTAAAAGTTTCTTTTGTCGATACAGTGAATACCTTTATTTTCGCCTTTTAAATCACTCTTCGGATTCCTTTGATGGGGGAAGAAGGAAAGTAGGGTATAAACCAGCTCATGATCATGGAGGAGCGTGCATAAAACCCTAATTCATAATCTTTCCAATTTTTTTATTTTTTTTAAATATTTTTATCATGGGTTTGTAATTAATTCGGGAATATTTACTGATTACATGTTACCACTGTATACATATTATAGATTTCTACCCACTATAGATTTTTATGTGTTTGAAGCATGAATTGTGAATTTGCATTTAATTCTTGATAAATAATTCTTCCCGTGTTAAAAAATAGTACTACAAAGAATAAAGCCAAAGCTCGAAATTCAATGAATGTATAATTGTATATTACCCATTTAGTCAAACACGGCTCAGTGACAAACTCTTCTTCTGCCTCACCAGTTTCACACACGAAAAAGGGCCTGTAAAATTAGTGAATTACTTAAGATGGCACCAAAAAAAAAAAAATTAAAATTAAAATTAAATGTCCAAACACAAAATCATATGTAGAGAATATAACAAATTTGATGAATCGTAAAATGTTTTGCCTTTTAGTTCCATATAAATTTTTATTGTGTTATTATAAAATTATCATTTTCCTCTATAACGTAATGTATATAGAAATATTAGGAATCCAACTTGTAATTTTTAATTATTTAAGACATAAAAATATTGCTTGACCTAAAAGATGTAATTCATGTAGGATCTAAAAAATATATAATTAATTTTTTATAATCCTAATATACAAATTAAATTGAATATCTTTTCACAAATAAATTTAATTGTATTTTCGATTTATTCCAAAGATAGATAAATTATTATGGGGGGCAAAAAGTTGCAAGTTAAATTAATGTAAAAATTGAAAGATACATTTATTATTATTATTGCTGTTTAAGTTAATATTTTACAAGTGGATGAACATATGTTGTTGGTATAATTAGTTTGTCCGTAAAATGGTTTGACATGATTACAGTTATGTCATACATAAATATTTAGATAGTTTGTTGGTGCATGAACATTTGTAAACATGCCATGATATATACAAAATTATCCATGGATTTCTTATTTTATTAATAGTTTATTGTTTAAAGAATTTATTGAATAATGGATAGAGTTTCGAATTTCAGATTTTGTTGTAATATTTCATTATTTATCATTTTAGAGTGGGATATTAAATATGAATGCAAAAGTGTAAAACTCCCCATCTGGCATAATGGACTTCAACTTGTACTTGAGTATAAAAATAGGCCCATTTAATTATTTATTTCTTTTTTTTATTTTCTAATAGTTGCCCTCAAAAATTAAATATAATTTTGAGGTAAATTAAATAAAAAAAATTTAATAGATTATTTATCAAGATCACAAATCTCTCTTAATTATGTTTTTGTTTTTTTTTTTTCTCCTGAAAAAAGAAAAACAAAATGGCATAATCATATTTATAAATTTAGAAATATTTTTGGAAATTATATATTAAATACTCAGTTAATATATATATACAATTTTAATTAATTTATGTGGATTTAAATTATATTTTTTTTCAGGAAAATTAATTCATAAAAGATTCCCCACCATGAGTAAACTATTTCCAGAACTAAAACTTCACAGCATCGTCTACTTGTAGTATTAATAACTCGGTAAAATATTAATTTTCTGTCCGTAAATAAAGAAACCAAAAAGTGAAAGCTTACCATTTTCTACCGTGCCAAACACCAGTCGTCTCTGATCAAAACGCCATAATATGAAAATGACCCAGAACAAGAAACTCACCCGCGATGCCGCCATCTCTTTCACCGACAACTCTTCGAAGGATCAAACAGCATCTGTTCGAGAAGACTCGTCTTCTTCTGCGCAATCCGCCGGAGTAGAAGCAACTGCTCGTGAGAGAAAACGCAGAATCCCTTAGAGTAAAGCATGGTTTGGGCCACCGGAGAGTTCACCATCACCTGCAACAGCTGCTGTCTATTCAACGTCTCCAGCGAACCCAGTACATTATTGTTAACTCCAGCACCGACCTCGGTCAGAGCCCCGCCTCCGGTGCCGCTGAAGCTTGAGCCTACCGGCATCCACTGGAGAGCCTTGATTTGCGCTTGGAGGAACTCCACGTACTTGTACGCATCCTCGAGCAGGGTTGCCGTGTCCATTTTCTTGTCGGAGGGCATTAACTTTTGCAGGGACCGAGTCTTGTCGCTGATCCTTGGACGCCGTTGCCGAGGCAGTTCATTTGAAGGAGTGACCGAAGGTGGAGCTGAGGTGTAGCTCTGGAAGTTGAAGTTGCTCTGAAGGATTGAATCGAGGCTCTGCGATGAACTGGCAGCTGCATAGTCGAAGCGAGCTCGTTTGTTACGAGCGGATGAGGAAGAAGATGAGTGGTTGAGTTGTGCATGTTCGATTGAGTGAAGATGGGGTAAGTGAGTAAAGGAGGAGGAGGTTCCCGGATTGCAGAAGAGATCTGGGGCTGGTTTGGAGAAGAAGTCAAGTAAGTTAATATTGGAGTCAAAAGCAGCCTGTGAATCGAGGTAGAGAGGCGAAGTGAGAGCTGAGCAGGAGGAAGAAGAGAAATTATCAGGGAACTGGAGAAAATGATGGGCCGGCGTATCGTACGCAAGTGGCGGATAATCATCGGCGTAGAAATTTGGAGACAGCGAAGTTGAGAAGTACTCATAAGGCAAAGGGATTAATGGTTGAAGAATAGTGCTGTCAGGAGACGAGAAGAAGGTGGAATCATCGGAAACATTCTCGCCGGGAAAAAATGGGAGTGCCGGTGAGGAAGAAGCAGAGGCCGTGAGGTGATGGTCGGCGGTTAAAACGGGCTTTATATCCCTCATCTCCATTTTCAAGAATCAAAACCAACCAAGGGGAAAAAAAAAAGGCAGAGATAGAACTACGTAAGAAGCAGAAAGTGCAACATATTATCTGCAAACCAGAGGGAATAAAATGAAAGGGATGAGACATCAATGGAAATATATTTGAAGCGAGGGGGAGAGGAAAAGGTCGTAAGTTTTGTGTGTGTGGGCACCTGGGGACACGTGGCGGGTGTTTATAGGAGAGAGTGTATAGAGTTATGTAACGGCGACACGAGAGTCGAGGACGATTGGAGTGAGGTACGTAATACAGGCTTTTTTGTTTGTTTTTTTTGTCATATGTGTAACTGACGCCTGCATGTCGCCGGTTTGTCTCTCCTCCGTGTCCGGCCCGTTCCGGTTCAGGTGAACCGCCCCTAATCAATCTTTACGCAACGAACCGTTGGTTTGACAGAGAGACCAACGTTGGATTGAATCCGGTCGTCTTCCTCCATCAAATATTCATGTCTGAGTTTTACGGTGATAGAATAAAACCCCTCTTCACCATTCTGATTCAGGAGTTACTCGATTTCCAATTCACGGTGTTGCCAGATTCTTGACATTGAAGTTTCCACCCCGCGGCAGGCTTCACCAGCAGATCAATTTTATGACTAATCACTCAAAAAACTTGATCTATTCCGAGCATTTTCTCCCACGGAGAATCCCCGTTATGAGTAGGATAGCAAAATGGAGATGCAACCGTTTCAAGTCAGTAGTAGGATGGAATTCTGCGAGGTTACCGGACAATGGAATTCATTTGCAGACTGCTTGGGTTTTTTAAACCCCAAAAGTACCAAAAATAAAACCCAAACTTTATTTTATGCAATCTCTTTTCATTTTTAACAAAATAAATAAATAAATAAATAAAGATTGAGATCCCTTACACACACAAACTCTATAATAACTTTTCTCTTTTCATTCCTTTTCTTTTTTCTTTACGAGGAGAGAGGGAAAACAAGCAAAAAACACAACCTACTTCCCATACACTGAATTACAAATTACAAAGATCAGCAAACTGTACACAAGAATGAGGAGAAAGAAAGAAGATTTTTTCCTTTTCAAAAAAAGGAAGTTTTGGAATGATTGCCAACTCCCGTGTTAAAAGGGGCAGCCGGGTACCAAAACTTAGAAATCATTCCAAAACATCAAATGAAAGCGTTGGACAACAATTAATCATAACATGATGCCTATGTTAGACTTCACTGATCCCACTTGGCCTGGAATACTATACTTCTATATTTAAGCCACTGCACCATTTCCCTATCCAGAGCAGTATTATGCAGAACTGCATCGAGCATCGGGCTACCAAAAACTTTTGGAGATGTCTTGAATGACCATATTTGGTCCTTAGGCCATGGTCTTTGAGGTTGTTTCTCCTGTTAAAAACAGAATCCATAGTTAATCAATCACCCACCTTAGCTATAAAGAAATTTAGCCACTTAAACAAGAAATTTTCATTAATATTAATAGCTTGTCTAAGATCCCACTCTATATAAGGGAGAGGAAAATTCATCATTAAATTAACCAACTTGGTTAACTGTATATATGCTCTTGCATGTAAGATTCACCTCTTATGTTGGAATTATAATGGCTCTGATCAAAAGATCAAAACAATAACTTCAGCATGAACCATTTAATCCAAGATTACCACAGCCTTGGACAAGCATGATTATATATTTATTTATTACAAGAGGCTAAGGCACAAAAGGAAGAACTGATAATGAGCTCCATCTCCCGATTATTAAGGTAGCAAGGGCAACCACTGAGAAGCCGAGGATTAAGATATAAAGATGTAGACAACTGAGCACATACAGAACACTTCTATTATGTATCAGTTCAAGCTCAAATAAATTGTAACCTAAAGATTTCAAAATTGACATCCAAGTGCACAGAAAGCTCACCATCCGTGACAGCATAAACTTTACAGTTCGCTGACCATAAACCCGATGCCTTGATGGTTTCTGAACCTTGGAATAGAAGGAAGCAATATCAGGTAATGACATGCAGCCCCTACTCGCTCTGGCCAGGCTACAATCTGGATCACCACTAGTCTGGTTATGCCAAAAAATCAGCTGCCCCAAACAATAGTTCTCGCCATATGTCTTGCAATACTCATGAAAACCTGTTCCTAACTTATCGGAGTACTTCGGCCCCAGGTCAAGTGGACTAATGTAGACAGGAGGAGAAGTTACAGCTTTATATACCTGTACCAAACAGGAATGTAGTCTAGATCAAATGAGATCAACAGACAAACAAAATTGGAAATAGTCTCTGAAGTGAATAGCACGACTAACCCGAACTCTGA